ACGGGTCGTCACCCAAGGCAGTCAGGTCAGGAACTCAAACTGGACAGGAACCTCAAGGCAGGAGCTGATGCAGAGGAAATGGAGGAGTGCTGTTGGTTGGCTTGCTCTTTATGGCTTGTTCAGCCTGATTTCTTATAGCACCTGGGACCGCTAATTCAGGGGTGGCACCATCCACAATGGACCAGGTCCTCCTGTATCAATAATTATTTTTTTAAAAAAAATGCCTTACATGTCTATGTATCACCTGATGTTTTGGAATCATTTTCTCCATTGGGGTTCTTTCTCTCAGATGACTCTAGCTTGTGTCAAGTTGACATAAAGACTAGCCATCACACACCTAGACGTGGATTCACAAATAGGCTCCATACATCTTTGGCTAAAACATAGAAAGACACCCAAACCACTCTCATATACTAGAGTAAGAAACACATTTCTCCAGCTTCCAGACTTTCTTTGGTAAATTTCATTTACAGTAAGAAGCAGTTTGATTAGTCAGGGTGTGTATGTGTGGGGGGAGTCTTGTCTACTCATTAAATGCATACATACTTTCCAGGGAATGTTGGCACACAATGATGGGTTGTGGTTTTTATAAAGAAAAAAGATCATGGCCTGAGTCTTGGAAGTGGGGTGCTGAGTTCTGATCTTAGTAGACTGTAAATAGGAAACGTCTTTTGTATCAGATCACTTCTTTGAATATACTACCCTGACTGATGATAAAATATTTTATGCTCATTAATGCAAAGTTTTTCTTATGTTTTGGGCAACATGAAATATCTTGATTCTGGATGAGCATTTTTCATTTTACGTCTTGCAGTAAGGAATACTAATGAGGATGCTCTGAGCCAAGACTAAACTGACAAATATCATTGGGTTGTTATTTCTTCTTGATCTTCCCAAAAGTGCCCTTGATGTTGATACAACTAACAGCTTCCCTCTTAATAACCAAGAAAGGAGGTTCTTAGCCCCTGTTTCCTAGATTCTGGAAGACAAATTCTCTCCTGTGATGGTACTAATTTTAATTGTCAACTCAATATAACCTAGAGTAATCTGAGAAGAGTGCTGAGGAGGGATTGTTTAGATTAGGTTGGAATTGTCTAGATTAGGTTAGGATTGTCTAGATTAGGTTGGGATTGTCTAGATTAGGTTGGGATTGTCTAGATTAGGTTGTCCTGTGGGAATGTCTATGGAGGAACTGTCATTATTGTTAACTGATATGGGAAGACCCAAGTTATTGTGGCCAACACTATTCCTCAGGCAATGTTTCTGAATTACATAAGAAAAGAGAAATCCAGCTGAGCAGTAAGCATGAATGCATTTTTTTTTTCTCTATTCTTGACTATAGATGTGATGTAACTGGATGCTTCGAAGAAGTGTTTTGACTTTTGGGCAATGAGGGACTGTAACCTAAAATTTTTAACTGAACTCTTTCTCTCTGTTCTGTGTTTGCTATTTTACCACTGCAAAATAAAAGAAACTAGAACGCTTCCCTACTGCATTACTTGTGGAGTTCACATTCTCTCGTTCACTTCCGACTCTTGTCTACTATTCATGAATGAACATCAATTCCCTTAGACGAGCTCTCCCTCTCCTCACTTCTCACACAGGGCTCCATAGCCCAATCAGATAGTGCTAGCCACCTTATTAATTTCCTCAATAAAAAATGTTTCACTGTAGCAGACCTTATTGAAATTTTGAGAAGACGAAGAAATTTATGTTTAAGTGGAGACCTCCATATTCCCAAATGCATAAAGCTATTGTAACACAAATCCAGTAATCAAGGTGGGTAGGAATTCAATACTAGAATCAGAGGTTCAAGTCTAGAATTCTAGCTTTGTTGTTGCTATAAATCATTGTGTAGCCTTGAGGAAGCTACTTCTTGTTCTGGCCTTTCTTGCAAGTAAAATACTGACAGGGATTTTTTGAGGGTGAATAATGTTTACTGACTCATAAAAATTGCTTGGAATTTTCTAACATGAGCATTTAGTAAAAGTTCCTAATTAACTGAGATAATTTTAAGGGCCTCTGATCATTTCCAAATTCCAGCTAATATAATCAGAACTTGTCTCTTCCTCTGTCCTTAGTCTCATCCCACACTCTTCTGCTAAATTCCTATCTTAATATTTTATTATTTTATCTAATACAGAGTAATGCCACTATTACTTTTTGTGGTCCTAGCTATGTATGAGCCATGGCCTTTGAAGTTATTATTCCAAGCAGTTTACCAAGACATTTTCTATGGACATTCTGAAGATAACGGACTATAATTCAAATATATATGCATATATGTGTGCATAAATATGGTGTGCCTATTACATGTGTGCATATATAGTCAGCTGCATATGCTGTATATGTATACATATATGTATGTATACATGTATACATATATGCATACATTCCAGAAATGTGTGCATGCTTAATATCTGCAATTGATATATTTTGATGTATCTTTAAATGTGACTTAATGTGTCATCACAATTTAATTGTGTGTGAGAGGTTGACTTTTGATGAAGGTTACTAAGTGCAAATCAGGATTCTCCCTAGGCTCTATCTGTTCCCTAAAGCCCATCACCTTCTACTATGCCTGGCCAGTGTCCTATGCTGTCTCATTTACTCACAATAACCACTCCAATGATCCTGGAACGATGGATATCCCCTTTTGCAAGTGAGGAGACTGAGTTTTCGAGAGGTTGAATTGACTGTGCTCATGAGACAATGCCAGAGCCAGGGTTCTGCCTTTTGCCATAGAGCTATATGCTATGATAACTTCCCCCTCAAAATAGCCTGAAGATCCAGGAGGAATGCAGGATGGTTTGCTCTAAAACATCCAACTTAAGGCTGGCTACAGTTAATTCCCTAAAGGAATCTAGTAGGATTCCCACGAGTACGCCAGCCGTTTAGCTCTGTGCATGGAATACAGAGTTAAGGGCATTTGCCTCCTAGCATTTAGCCTTCTGGTTGATTCATAAGATGCAAATGAAATGTAAATGTTAAAACCATATGGGAAAAACTACTTATTTTCCGAGGAAAAATATACGAGATCCATCCTAGAATACTGTAAAACACCGCGAGGAGAACTAGACAGAGAGGCGCTGGGGGGGGGGGTGGGGGTGGAAAAATCACAACTGAAGATGGAGCTTAATAATTTCAAGCACGAAAGGAAAGGAATTCAAAGAACAGTGTCTGTGTGTGCGCTTGCGCGCTCGCGGGTGTGTGTGTGTGTGTGTGTGTGTGTGTGTGTGTGTGTGTGTGTGTGTGTGCGCGCGCGTGATGCTTCTGCCTGCACACTCGGAGACCCCCATCTCCACCCGCAGGTGACTGGTGGTTCCCAGTCTGTTGAAGACCGAGCCCTGTGTGACTAGTTAGCATTCTCAGCTGGAGACTGGCTTCTCACAGGGGATGACCCTGCGATGCAGGAAAGACTATTTAACCCTCGCGAGGTGGTTCAGGAACCAGGATTTTATTATGCTACCGGCATAAGAGTTGTAATCCCGCATTCCTGAGTTAGAGCCACTTAGGGCCCCAACAGCTCCACCCCGGTGTTTCAGAGGAAAATATTCCTTCATGCTTTCTGCCTGAACTGAAAACGACACGGCTTCCTGATGCTAAGCCTGGGAGGTGGTTGGAGCTTTAGAAATTGCCTGAGAAGCCTGCCCATCTGCTGGGTGCCTGGCTTTCTGGAACGGACCAGGAGGAGTTGATTTTTAATTCGAGTAACTCTGGATTTTGTTTTGTAATTTAAAATCGCCGCCCAATTAAAAATAAAAGTGACACTTTTTAAAAGGGACGTTAGGAAAATCCGTAAGATGTGGTATGGTGTAGAGTCCTAATGCTCACCGGGAGGGAGATGGGGAGTGGGGGGAGGGAGGGCAGAAATCTCTTCTGGCTTCTTGGTACTGGATACTTGACTAAATGTTCTGCTTTGAGGAGGTGTGCGGGAGCTGGGACTAGGGCTAGAGAAGATAGGCGAATTAGAGAAGGAAGGAAGGAAGGAGTTTATCCCGGGGGAGAATTATCCTGAACCAGCCAGTGACTGTTTCCATCTTTTCCACCTCCTCAGTCCTGGTCCAAGAGGACCAAAGGTGCTCTCCTCACCCCCACGGTGCTGCCCTCATAACTCCACAGAAGCCAAAGGCGGTACCACCACGGAGGAGAAAAATCCCTAGGTGTGAGCCAGTGAGTTGGGCTTCCGAGTGCAAGAAGACAGCTATGTGACTAGGCGGGGCGGACAGCAGATGGTCACAGATTGTGTGTCTTGGGGGCGCTGAGAACCCCGTGGCCAGAGCCAGTCCGCGGCGAACCCAGCCCGCTGTGCCCGGGGGTTCTCAAGCCCGCTCCTTATTGGCGGGTGTGTCCTTGGGAGGCGGAGTCAAGGGCAGCCCCGCCCACCCGGGCACAGGGCGGGAGGCGGGGGGTGGGGGGGACGTCAGGCTCTCCTCCCACCCCGGGGCCGCCAGCTCCGCTCAGTTCCCGGACTCGGTCCTGCAGCGCCTCTAGGCTGCAGATCCGCGCTCCAACCACCTGCTCCGCGCTGCCGCCAAGGAAGCTGGGCGGGAGGGAGGAGCGGGAGGAGCGGGAGGAGGAGGAGGAGACCGGCAGCTTACACACGCCTTCCAGCCCTCCACTCAGAGCAGCCCGAGCCCGCGGCCGCCTCCACTGCTCCAGCTGCCGCCGCTCCAGCCAGTGCCGCGGCTGCCACCTGAGGAGACCCACACGGTGCGAGCCCAAGGCGCTGCTGCCCCCGCCGACCCCTTCGAGGTCCCCCGAGATCCGTGCGCGGTGCAACTCTCACTGCTCTTCTTATCGTCTCCTTTTTTTTTTTTTCTTTTTGCAAGAAGAGAAACTAACCGGAGATTGCAGCCAAGAAGAACCGCGTCCACCTTGACTGACTACCGAAGCGTCTCCTGGAATTAAGAGGGTCGCCCGTCCTGGGAGGAGCAGCCAAAGACACCGAGGGAGGGCGTGGAGGGGGAGGGAGGAGTTGCGGGCGGCGCGTGGAGGAAAGTTGCGTGTGGTGTGGTCTAGACCCGACGGCGCAGCGCCACGATCCCCGGGGGACCGTGTGTCTAGGAAAACGCCGTTGCCCCTTGAGTCGGGACCCAGGAGCGAGCGGGCCCCGTGGGCCCGGGGACGACGCCCCCTCCTGCGGCGTGGACTTTGTCGGTGGCCCTCGAGGAGGAGGAGGAATATGGCACCTAAGGTTTCTCCTTCTGGCCGTCTGGTTTTCTGCCTCTTGATCTCCGCCGCGGTCCTCAGACCAGGTAAGCAATGGCCTCTGAGCAGGCGACTGGCGCGGTTGCCGTGGCCCGGGGGCGGTTCCCTGGGTGGCCTGGGACTGTGTGTTCTAGCGCGTGGTTGGGAAAGTCAGGGAGCTGGAAAGGCGCGCGGGGACGCGGACCGGTCCCTGGGAACAGTCACTGGTGTCACACGTTTTAGGCTTGACTGGGTCAGATCAAGTTTGGGCAGAGAAAGAGAGAGCGAGCGAGCACTGAGGAAATCTCCAGGAACTTTGGCTGAGGCTTAGCTTTGAGGCTGAGGAGCCCCCAGGATTTGCTCAACTCTCTCCCCAGCACGGTCCCTCCGGTCTCGGGGTGTCAAAGTCCACGTCACTGAACCCAGGGCAGTTTCCTTTCGCTGGGCTTTGAGCTGAAATAACTGCCTGTACTTTGTCATGATAAATCCCCTAGTAACTTCCTCTTGGTCATAATATGAAGACCTGGGAAGGAAGGCAGGGGCAAGGGAGGGCTTTGACCATCTCAGAAAAATAAATAAATAAATAAATAGATGAACACTGAAATAGCAGCTGCATCGTCTGGTGGGTGGTGAGTGGAGGGTTGATGGCAGCCGAGTCACGCAGCGTGGACTGGGTTAGCAGCCAGGTTTGTGAGCCCTGTGTGAGGGATTTCTTGATTTCCACACACCCGGTGATAGCGCCTCAGTTCTCACTTCTACGCTGAGTCTTCGAAGGAAAATGATAAAATTCCCACCAACCAGAATATCTTGGGGGGAATCCCTTTGCTCACCCTAGGGGACATCCCTGGCCCTGGCGTCCACCAGCTGGCCTGCGGGCTGACACACCGTAGTCCTGCCCTCCCAATATATGCTCTCCCAGTCTACTAGCCCAAGTGGCAGGTACTTTTCCCTGTGGAGCCCTAGGATCTAACCTTTTGAAGTTTTGATTTTCTACCGTTTAGTGGCTAGTTGGGGGTTCAACTACTATTCCCTGTTATTTTGGCTTCTGCCTGCTCCCCCCCCCCACCTCCCCTTTAGTTTTAAATCAAGGAGGAGGGGGAAAAAAGGACTGACTTCCTTTTCTCATCTTCTATCCCTGTACACCCCTTGAGTTATTGGCAAGCTGAAGCCACAGAAGAGGGTTTATAGGCTAGGAATCTTTCTCAGGAAAGAGGAGAAAGTAAGGAGGCCACAGGAGCCTGAGATCCTGCTGCTGCTGCTGCTGTGTGTGTGTGTGTGTGTGTGTGTGTGTGTGTGTGTGTGTGTGTGTGTGTGTTGGGGGGGGGAGATCAGAGTGGAGGGTTGTCTTCACCACCATATCTCTATATCAAAGTTGCATTTCTGGGTGAGGTAATGACTTTACTGTTTCTGAGGCTGGGAAAGACATCGGTGGCCAATCTCAGGCTCTGGGGCGGGGACCCTAAACCCTGAGTAGCACCGGATTTAAGGCAGGTAGGTCAGAGTCACAACACTCAGAAGATGAGCACCGGGCCCCTCGTCTTGCACAATGTAGACTCACTTTTTCTGGATCCCAGATGGGGGAAGGGCACCTTGGAACCCTGGTGAAGAGTCAATAAGGGAGCTTGGGAGTCAGTGTGTGAAATGTGACAATACACATGCCTGTGTCCGCTCTTGGCTTTAACCCTCTCACACCAGGCTCCGAGGCTGTCACACTTCCACCCCCCGGGCTGCAGCACACAGCAGTTAACCTTTCATGCGGTCGCGCTGGAATTTCTTTTCAGTTGGCCCCGTCGAAAAACAGGTTTTTCTTCACTCGGAACTGCCAACTGGGAGGGGGGAGAGGTTCCTCTTTCAGACCTGATGGCAATTCTTTCTGCACCGCAGCCTCCGGTCCAAGCCACCAGCTGTGCGCTTTCCCGCAGGAGCGCGCCTGCTGATCCGGGGGATCACAAGCCACAGACCCCCAAAATTCGCTATTCCCTTGAATGATAGCGCTGACGCAAACTTCTCCACGGGATCTCAGAGTGCTTTCAATGGAAAGATCGTGGTTGTAAAGGCACAGGGTCTCCAGCAAGTGAGTTCAGGACAGAGAGTGCGCCTCTTGCAGTGGGCTCTGCAGAGGGAGCCTTGAGAGTGAGGTACTGCCTAGCTTCATCCTTGGGGCTCATTTTCCTGCCTGCCTCATTTCCGAAGCAGTTTTTACAGTATGTGTCAGGTGCCAGAGGACAGACGCTGCTCCTGCAGGTCTTTTGACTTGACGAGGACCACAGTAGTGACCCATATGTTTTAGGCCTCTTGTATAATCTGTTTTGAAGGTAAAGGGAGGCAAGACTTCCACCAACAAAATCTGAATGTGATAAAGGCAAGGAAGTGTGTGCTCAGCATCCTAGGTGGCAAAAATCTCATTATTCTTGCAGAAAGAGCGTCAGCCTGTGGTGACATTTTGTACTGCTTTAAAGAAAGCTTTCCTTGGTTGTTTGCAAGGAGGTGTGGTATGGCAGTTAACTGTTTCTTCACTTGAGCCATCTGAGCACAGCCCTCCCTGGGAGTTTTTTTTTTTTTTTTTTTTTTTCATTTCTCATGAGGATACAAGGTTCACTCTAAGACTTAAGGACGCATAAAGCTGTTCTCAGTGGGGGTACCATCGTTTATCAGTTTATTTCATTAGTTCTGGGGCGGGGGGAAGCAGCCACTGAAGTCATGTCCTTTCAGATCTCTCACATGGGATTATTAAAATTTATTAATTTTACAAATACAAACTGCTTCGTAGCCACGATAGGTTGTTGTTTGCTTGGTTTATTTAATCCAATAGCAATTTACAATGCAATGGTGTACTGCTTGCAGCCAATTGCTTTTCTAGACTTGGCTCAAAACCTACGTCTACATTTGGGCACTTGAACATGACAAGAAACCTTTTGAGGCTTCAGCTTTCTCCTGTGAAAAGTAAAAAAGAAAAAGGAACCATGAATCTATTCCTTGAGACTTCCTCCAGCTCAGACACTATTTTTTTTGTATTGAGGTAGAAAAACATTTGGACTGACAGAATCATTTTCCAATAATGTGTTTCTTATACTCTCTTTCTGGACAAAATTTATTGCTAGAAAGATTTCAGTGTGTATCCCTACTGCTAACTTTCTCTCTTTTTCTCCTTTTATAAATTCATGAGAATGTGTTGTGCTTATTCTTCCAGGACCAATCAGGACAATCAAAACAACATGAGACGGGGTAGGGGTGGGGTGGGGGGTTATTAGTCTCCTATTCACCTAGGAGTGGGAAAGGTTTTAGACCTTAGAAAAGCCTGGTCGTGTAGCCATCTGCCTCCCTCTTAACTGCGTGTGTAGTTCTAGAATTAGGTATAAGCTGGCTGGTACTAAAATGCTCATGTACCAAAACTTGTTCTACTGACCCTAATAGTGCTCATATACAGAGAATACAACACGCGGAAACTTTCATGTCACTTTAAAAGCTATAGAAATCCAAGCTATTTTGCATTGCTAATTCCCAACTTTTCTGACATTTTAGGATATTCAAGCTCACTTTTTTTGTGTGATAGAAATTCAGATGGGAATGCATGTATATCACTAACTTGTTAAGCAGGCAGTCAACAAGAGCCCACTCAGTACTCTTAAGTACTATTTATATTGAAGCTGGTATTCCAGAGTTCAATTTCTTACCTATTGCATCTAAGAATGCTGTGGCATGACCTTGAGAGCTATTGTTCTGCCCCTGTTTCTCATCAACAGAATTTTCCTTTTATGTAATTCATGGTTCTGATTGTAGTGAGATTAATCATTCCACAGCACTGCGTTTTTGAAATTTGTAGATGTAAGATGTGCTATATTAAAACGTAAAGATATTAACAAAATATTTTTAATCTATTCCACTTAGTTATCTCTTTATTGTTTTATTAAAAGGCGCCAAAAATGTTACTTTCTTTTCTTTTATCTTAGTCCCTTTTTTATGCCCCCAATTCTTATGTCATTAAACCCAGATCTTACCGAAACTGAGTGCTGAATTGTAAACATTTTTTCATGTGTAATAGCAGTAATTTTAAGGCAGTGTTTTAAATGCTTTATGATCATTATGTCTTATATTCCAGACACACCATTTGTTTAACATCAAATATGAAAGAGTTCTTTAACCCAAGTAGACACATCTGATTTATATCTGGGAAAATGGAGAAGAGCCACACAGGTTTCCTATTTTAAATATAAAAGTGCATCCGTGTCTTTGTGTGGACAAAGAGAATCAGTTACTTCAAAGTGTTAATTTTGTTCTTTGTTGTTTTCACACAGGTCCATGCCATTGCTGGCATAAGACTTTTGTGACGTACAAAGAATTACATCATTCACTGAAATAACAAAAACTACCAAGAATATTTTCTTAGGAGTGGTGATAAATTAATGTTTGTTTATTATTACTTTCAAATTTTAGTTCATTTTCTTCTCAATGAGAACTAAAAAGACTGGAAATGTGTCCATTTCTACCTTTATTTACTTTCTTATTTGAGTATTTCCTTTCCCTATGGAGAGCAAGGTGAAATTTGAATATATATGTGTATATATATATATATATATATATATATATATCATGCCATTTGACAAAGCTGTAGCCTACAGTTACTCAAGCAATCTTACTATATGTAAAATGTTACATATTACTAGAGTTATAAATATTTTCATTCAGATATTTATTTAAACAACAAATCTCATAATTTTTTTTACTTTTTGTTTTTGACTAGAGTAGCATATATTTCAGAAAAAAAAATGGTTCAAAAATGTTGTGATATTTAGTCATTGTTTTATGGTAACCTATTATCATTGCCCATTATTGTAGTGTGTGTTCCAGGAATGAAATTAGCTTTTAATGCTTCTTCTTATTTATCTAGTCAGTTCTCAATTACCCATTGTATCGACAGGAAAATCAGAGTTGCATGCAGTGCATACCAGTCCTAATCAAAGGATTATTTAATGTGACTTTAAGTTGAGTTACTTAATGATCATGCCTGTATCTGGTCTTCTAAGGGTTGATTGTATTTAAAAATAATAAAATCAAACTATGTGGGGAA